GAAGCCTGGTGTGCTGCAGCCCATGCGGTTGCAAAGAGTTCGACACGACTGAGAGACAGACCATGTCCATTGAGTCAGTCATCATGAAAGGGTTTAGCCATCTCACAGCAACCCACTAGGTGGCACTGTGTCAAAGTCTATGAAAGGACCTTGCTCTTCCATGTTCTAAGCGAGACCTCTCACCTCCCTTCCACGTTCTGAAATATCCACCAGAAGGCAAGGACCCATCTGATCCTGTGACCGCTTAGTTTTGTAGCCGTTTGTCTCTTGATAACTACAATATCCTGACTATCTCCTCCTCACAAGATTATTAAAAATTCAGTTCAGTTCAGTTTGGTCGCTCAGTGGTGTCCAACTCTTCTGACCCCATGGACTGCAGCACGCTAGGCTTCTCTGTCCATCACCAACTCCCAGAGCTTGCTCAAACTCATGTCCATCGAGTCAGTGACGCTATCCAACCATCTCATTCTCTGTCATCTCCTTCTCCTGCCTTTAATCTTTCCCAGCAACAGAGTCTTTTCCAGTGAGTCAGTCCTTTGCATCAGGTGCCAAAGTATTGGAATTTCATCATCAGCTTCAGTCCTTCCAATGCATATTCAGGACTGATCTCCTTTAGGATGGACTGGTTGGGTCTCCTTGCAGTCCAAGAAACTCTCGAGAGTCTTTTCCAACACCACAGTTCAGAAGCATCAGTTCTTCAGGACTCAGCTTTCTTTATAGTCCAACTCTTACATCCCTACATGACTACTGGAAAAACCATAGCTTTGACTAGATGGACCTGTGTTGCCAAAGTCATGTCTCTGCTCTTCAATATGTTGTCTAGCTTAGTCATAACTTGACTCCCACGGAGTGAGTGTCTTTTTATTCCATGGCTGCAATCACCATCTGCAGTGATTTTGGAGCCCAAGAATATAATCAAGTCTGTCACTGTTTCCACTGTTTCCCCATCTATTTCCCATGAAGTGATGGGACCGGATACCATGATCTTAGTTTTCTGAATGTTGAGCTTTAAGCCAACGTTTTCACTCTCCTCTTTCACTTTCATCAAGAGGCTCTTTACTTCTTCTTCACATTCTGCCATAAGGATGGTGTCATCTGTATTTCTGAGGTTTCTGATATTTCTCCCCGCAATCTTGATTCCAGCTTGTGCCTCATCCAGCCTGCATTTCCCATGATACGCTCTGCATATAAGTTAAGTGAGCAGGGTGACAATATTAAAAATTACAGGAGTTTAAATTCATAGGTAAATGTTCAGCTTTCCTTCTTCCTGGAGGCGTTTAACCCTGAATGACAGCGAAATTCCGCTGCACCCAATGCCCATTGATCAGCTGTTCCTTACTCTAGGAACCACTCCTTTTGTCTCCAGGCAAAACATTGCTTTCTGTTTCTCTCCCAGGACAATTTATAAACATTTCTAACAGAATCTGTTACCAGTTTTAATTGGGTTGTGCGTGCTAAGCTGCTTCAATCATGCCTGACTCTTTGAGACCCCATGGACTGTAGCCTGCCAGGCTTCTTTGTCCCTGGGATTCTCCAGGCAGGAATACTGGAGTGGGTTGCCATTTCCTTCTCCAGGGGATCTTCCTAACCCAGGGGTTGAATCGTGGTCTCCTGCATTGCAGGCGGATTGTTTGCCAACTGAACCACCAGGGAAGCCCATTGGTGTGATCTTCAAAATTCTTTAAAGTGAACAACTTAGTCTAAAGCAGAGTCTGTGGCCTTGATTTTGGACAAATACAAAGATATCCAGAAAAAAGTAGGCCACAAACAGTTACTCTGGGATGATAAACAATTGTATGTAATAATTTGAGGGACTTCCCTGGTGTTCCAGTGGTTATGATGTACTTCCAATGCAGGGGGCATGGGTTTCGATCCCTGATGGGGGAACTAGGATCCTGCATGCCTCAAGGCGTGGACAAAAAGTATTTTTTTAAAATGTAATAATTTGAAATCAGCCTGACTTCCTTTTATATTTTCTCCTGATTTTCATCCTCCCTACACTTTCCTGGTTCTCTGGGTGTCATCTAAAACAATCAAAGGAGGCAGCTGGCCTCACACCTCCAGACCATGAGTAAGGAATCCAATTTAGCCAGAATGGACTTCTGACTTACAGAACTGTGTGACAATAAATGGCTATTGTTGTTCATCGCAGCACTATTTATAATAGCCAGGACATGGAAGCAACCTAGATGCCCATCAGCAGACGAATGGATGAGGAAGCTATGGTATTATTACTCAGCCATGAAATATTACTCAGCCATTAAAAAGAATTCATTTGAATCAGTTCTAATAAGATGGATGAAACTGGAGCCCATTATACAGAGTGAAGTAAGCCAGAAAGAGAAAGACCAATACAGTATACTAACGCATATCTATGGAATTTAGGAAGATGGTAACAATAACCCTATATGCAAAACAGAAAAGGAGACACAGATGTACAGAACAGAATTTTGGACTCTGTGGGAGAAGGCGAGGGTGGGATGTTTCGAGAGAACAGCATTGAAACATGTATATTATCTAGGGTGAAACAGATCACCAGCCCAGGCTGGATGCATGAGACAAGTGCTTGGGCCTGGTGCGCTGGGAAGACCCAGAGGAATCGGGTGGAGAGGGAGGTGGGAGGGGGGATTGGGGTGGGGAATACTTGTAAATCCATGGCTGATTCATGTCAATGTATGACAAAAACCACTACAATATTGGAAAGTAATTAGCCTCCAACCAATACAATTAAATGAAAACAAATAAATAAATGGCTATTGTTTTAAGGTGGAAAACAATTACGAATTAATAGTGTCATTTTATTCATTGACCAGGTGGGTGGCATCTATCCACTCATCTTTATTTTACGACCCAGATGGGCATACGGTATGTCACTTTGTTTGCTGTTTAATTCATTGAAGACACCTAGAGAAGACAAGACTTGTTTTCAACCTCAGCCATGATGCTTCTGTAAAAAATTAATAAACAGAAACTTCAATCAAATAGAGTTGGGAGGCCAGAGTGGGAGCGCTCATGCACTTTAAAGGACCATAGCAGAGCACAACAGGAAGAAGGAAGACTCCTTTGCTTTCCTGGCAAGGTTTCAGCCGATGAAAAGCCAAGACCACTTTTCTAGAGCCCGCCCAACCTCCTTTTCCCGTCTATAACAGCGTTCTCCTTCCCTTGCCCATTGGGGGCTTAATACCAAGCTGTTAACACTGCAGGGTGGGGAGAAGCCCATGACAACTATAAGCAAAGGGTAACAGAATCTATATTGCCGTAAAGCCTCTACATTTTCCTGTGGTCAAAGCAAAAATTGCACCCAAAACAACTTAAACAGGGGACTTCCACGGAGGTCCGGTGGTTAAGACACCAGCTTCCACTGCAGGCGGAACCCTGCAGGTTCCAACCCCAGTGGGGACCTAAGAACCCTCATGGCCAGTGTGGCTAAAAAAAAGGGGGAAAAAAAGTTAAACAGGCAAGGAAGATGATATGGAAGACTACTGTAGTAATGGAGAAAGGCTAAGACTCAGTCTGAGCTCAGCTGAAACAGAAGGCAGGAGAGTGTCTCAGGGCTGAGGTGGGCTTGACCTATGGGGTGTGTCCAGCTTCTTGAGATATCCCTGAGTTCACAATGGATTTTCTCTGTGATTAGGAGATCTCTGGGTGTTATTTAGCACCCATGGAACTTAGACTTCTCCCCCGCGAATGGACTAGGAAATACACAGGGAGTATAGGTCCCTCCCACTTGCCCAGGCCGCCATTTCAGTTGTCACCCCAGCAGATCTCCTTTCCATTGTAACCAGGTGAGAGGGCAGGAGGACCCGCAGTGCTGATGTCAAAGCTGCCATCCCATGCAGCGGCTCCTGAGCAAGGTACCCTGCTCCCCAGAGTTTCCACTCTGCTGGGCAGGGACCGATCCTGTACAATTAGAGCTCAGCCCGGGAGAAGGGGTACGTGCCCTGTCAAGAAGCTCATCACTCTCAGGGCAAAAACCTCCAACCCACAGACCCTGGAGATCTGGGAGCGCCCCAGTTCGGCAGTGCATCCCTAGGCCGCCCCAGGGACACAAACACACACACACCCCCGCCCCAGGGGCGCGCACACACACACACACACACACACACTGACACTCCCCCGCGCATGCGCCATCTCTCCGGACCCTTTGCGCGCCCCGTGCACGGGCGCCCATTCTTTGCTCACAGGCTCTCGAGCTGCGTCCCAGCAACGCGCCAAACTGCTCACTTCACCTTTGGCTGACTTGGCAGTTGAACCAGAGCTCTCTGAAGTTATCCCTCTATCCAAGCGCCGACCACCCACCCACGTGCCCTATGGGCACTTACCTGGGCAGGCCCTGCCCCTCACCCCCACCCCGGGCTCTGGGGGGCCAGCACCTGCCAGGACGGCTCGGCTGCCCCCAGCCCGATCCCCGCCCCCGCCGGTTTTCCGTGGCCGGCCCAGGTCACCCAGCTGTCCGTGCCCCGCTGTCCACTCGCAGGCCAGCCCACAAGTATCCGGTGACTCTGCATCTGCGCTTTGTCCGAGCGTCTCTGAGATGGTGGTGTATGATCCCGCAGGCCCTGCGCTCCTTCCTGGGGGTCCTCACCTCCCTCTGCAGGCGACACCATCAGAGGAAGGCGGTGCTGGGTGCTCGCATCTCCACGATGTGCCGCGGCTCAGCGTCCGCAGTGGGCACGGTCCCTGGGTGTGGTGGGCGCCAGCAGCAGGTCACCCCCGTGCCGCCCACCACACTCAGGTGTGCCCCGGGCTCCTGCACAGAGAAGACGGTGAGGAGCGCCCTGGGAGAGAGCGGGAAGGGGCTGGCCCAGCAGGAGGGAGACCCCGCATTCAGACAGAAGGACCATCAGAAAGGGGGTCCCGATGGCTCTCGGGGTGCACGGTCAACATTTAGGCCCTTTGGGGCCCGGGGAGACTTCTCTGCCTTCGTGCCCAGGCCTGGGCCTCTGCGGAGAAACCTCCACGCCGAGAGCTCGGTAGACACATCCGCCGAGAAACTCCAGACCTCTTGTGTGAGCTCCTGCCCCCAAAGAAACGCCATCACGAGCTCCCACAGCTCCACCCGAGGTTTCCCGCCAGGGCAGAGGAGGACGGGCCCCCGCATGCCGCGAGGGCTGCCCCGGAGGTCCTCGAGGAAAGCGAGCGACGGGGGCCCGGCGCCGCCCTGTGCCGCCCCGGTGGCTTCCCAGAGCAACAGCCGGCCTGAGGACGCGGAAGCTTCCAGGGGGCAGAAACGCACCTGGGAGAATGGCCCCCCCACATCGGACAGTCCCAGGCCCGGAAAACGCAGGTTTCCTCTGCTGCCGCGCAGGCGAGGGGAGCCGCTGAGGCTGCCCGCACCCCCTGAGCTGGGTTTCCGAGTCACCGCCGGAGACCTGGACGCGGAGAAAGCAGCGGCGCTCCGGCGCATCAACAGCGCGCTGCGGGATGAGACCCCGTCCCCGCAGCCCTACCGTCCCTTCCCCGCACCGGCCGACCCTCCGGTCCCCGGCAGGGCTCCTCGGCCCGAGAGAGGCCAGAGGGAGTCGGCCTCCCCAGCGCCAGTAGACGCCCGGGAGTCTGCTGGAGGGGCCCCCGCTGCGCATCCTTGGTCAGGGGGAAGGCACGGCTCCTCCCGGCCCCTGTCTCCCCGGTCCCAGCCCCTCCCGGGCCCTCCTTCCCACTCACGGCCCCCCGGCCCTTTCACCTTGCCCACCCAAGCTTCCTCCCCAGGATCGGGCAGCGCGAGCCTGAATGCTCGGCCGCCAAGCCCCTCGGCCCCTGCTTCGGCCCCCGCAACAGGCACGGCGGGTGCGAGGGGAAGCCCGGCTCCGGCCTGGGCCCCGGGTTCGGCTTGGCTTCCCGGCTTCCAGAGGCCCGTCCGGGGGCCTCTTAGGAGCGCGGCAGGAGGAGGAGGCCTTTGCCAGCCCCCGGCGTGGGGCCCGGCTGCGGAAGATGCCACACAGGCCTTCCCTGCAGCGCCGGGCTCCTCGGGCTTGGGGTCCCCCACACCCATGTGCCTGGACTCTCCTGTCTTCACCCGCCATAGCCCCCCTCCCGTATCTGATCCTCAATCCCTGCTCCCCATCGGCCAGCTCATCAGCCAGCTCATCGGGTTTTCTCTCCAAACCAGACCCTCACCCTGCACATCTGGGGGCCTGACTCCCCACCCCGCTTCTGACACTCAGGTCACCCCCATGGACACCAGTCCACCCTCCCCGTCTCCCCTCTTCGGGTCTCCCCCTGGATCCAGCAGGAGCCTCTTCCCATCTTCCCAGGCCCTGCAGACACCCCCCAGGGACAGCGCGGCCTCTGCCACGGTCAGCACCAGCCTGCCTGGACTCCGGTTCAGCTGCTCCTCTCACACCAGAGCCCCGGCCCAGCCCACCTCTGGGGTCCCTGATGTGCAGCAGCGCCGAGCCCCCGCCTGGGGCCACTCACCACACTGTGGAAACCCGGCAGCTCCAGCCCTAACGGGGAATCCAACCTCTGCTCCAGGCCCCCCAGCTCCACCCACCAACTCCCCCATGGGCACCCGTGCCAGCACCCAGCCGGCCTCGGCTGCATTCCCAGCTGGCCCAGCCCCTGCCGCTGCCACCTGCGTGCCCCAGGCCGTGCCCAGTGCGGGGCCCCGCAGCGGGCCGCGCTGCCCAGCAGTCGGTGGATCACGCACAGCCCCCTGCAGGCCGGGGGGCTCGGCCGCACCTCGGGGCGTTGGAAGTGGAGCGTCCGTCCTGGATGTCAGCTGCCTCTTTGCTGCTCTCAGCCTTTCAACACAGAGAAGGGGAGCCCGGAGAACCACACACAGCAGAGCGGGAAGAGTGGCCCAGAACACCGGGGCCTTCCTGGCCAGAGCCCCCCCATGGTGATTATGGGGCCCAGGGATAAGAATAAGCCCACTGCTAAGAATAAGCCCAGCACTCATGAGAAGCCTGGCTTTGGAGGTGCTACTGCCCCCATCTTCAGTCACATGCCTGGGGGTGCCCCCGGGCAGAGCCCCCATACTTCCAGCCGAGAAGACAGCCCACCCCCAGCCAAGGTTGCCTTCAGGGGCGTGTCCACCCCAGCCTCTACCCCCAGCAGCCCCAGCTCCAGGGGCTCACAGCCAGGAGACGCCGTCCTCTTAGGGACCCGTCAACCTGCTGAGGACTTGGCTGGACTCAAGACAGTTGAGCCGTCAACCAAGTCCTCCTCCTCCAGGGCGCGGTCCACTCTCCTGGGGTCTAAGAGGCGGATGAAGACCTGAGCCGAGAACTTTGGGGACAGACAGTGTCTACCTTCCTCCCAGGCTAGGCCTCGCGTGAGCCCTGTTTCCATTGAAACCCACGTCTAGCCCTCACCCCTCTACTTCCAGAGCAGTCCCGGCACGTGGAGATACAGCACTCGTCCCCTTCCCCCGCCTGCCACCTTCCCCTCTCAAAGGTGGGTGGTTCGAGGCTGTTGCCCCATCCCAGTGCTCAGTCCTCAGGACAGCAGACAGAGGCCCTGGTCCTGCTCCCTCCGCTGCCAACCCCCTCCCCCGTTGCCTACAGCTCACTCCTTCCCTCTCCCTGTCTTCCTTCCAGAACCCTCATGTTAACTTCATCATGTAACATTTTTTTCTCATTACTTGGCACAGTCCTTATGTGTCAAGGGAACTGTTGATCAAGTGTGGGAAAGTACTGGCTTGTACGAGTGGTTGGGCTTCCCAGGTAGGGCTCGTGGTAACCCAAATGCCAATGCGAAGAAACACAGGTTCAGTCCTTGAGTTGAGAAGATCCCCTGAAGAAGGGCATGGCAACCCACTCCAGTATTCTTGCCTGAAGAGTCCCACGGACAGAGGAGCCTGGTGGGCTACAGTCCACGGGGTTGCAGAGTCAGGTACGACTGAGCATGCATGCTTCCGCTTGCTTACTTGATGATTGCAGAGAAGGGACAAAGCCATTGGTTTAGTGAAATAAACATTTGGTGACAGAAGTTAGAAGGGCCTGGGTCATCCTCAGGAATAGTCCCGGGGTGGGGTTTCTAGGGTGGGGCTCTGGAGAGGTCCCTCTCAGAGGAGGAGACGGGAGTCTGTCCTCTGCTTCTACAGGGTCTGGGGATGGAGGAGGAACCTTCAGGGCCTGGACTCTGGTGAGAAAGGATGAGTAGGGAGGGTGAGCTCTCAGAGCCAGTGCAGGCCAGGGCCCTTCCTCAGGCCCTCCCCAGCCCAGGCTGCTCAGACAGTGGCTCACCTCAGCAGTCCGTGAGAGGCTTCCCTGGTGGCTTCCCCCAATAGCAAAGAATCCACTTGCCAGTGCAGGAGACAGGGGTTCGATCCCTGATCTGGGAGGATCCTACGTGCCTTGGAGCAACTAAGCCCATTCACCACCACTACTGGGCCTGTGCTCTGGAGCCCACGTGTCACAACTACTGAAGCCCTCCTGCCCTAGAGCCTGTGTTCCACAAGAAGAGAAGCCACTGCAATGAGGAGCCCCCTCACCACAACTCGAGGGCAGCCCCTGCTCTCCACAACTAGAGAAAAGCCCGTGTAGCAGTGGAGACCCAGCACGGCCAAAACTAAGTGAATAAATTAAAAAAAAATTCTTTAAGTCAGTAAGACATTGAGGGTCACAGACTTAATTCATTAAATTCCCAGTGTACCAGCCTAGATGGCTACTTTTCCAGTTAAATTTGTATGAACTGCTTGCGCATCCAAGGCTCGCCCGTTGAAGGGAAGTTAAATCTTGGCAGAGCCATCATGTGACAGTTGGTTTGGAATGTCCTAAGTTCTGAGCCAGCTTAGGGGTCAAACAGACCGCTGGTCACGCAGGGTGGTCACCTGGTCATCAGGAAGGCTCAGGCGTGAGACAGCTGACAGTGTGAAGACGCTGGGGTAGGATGAACACATGGTTGGACTTCCCCTGGTCCTTCAGAGGGGCTTCCTTTGGAGATATCTGTCATGTTTGGGGTCAAGGATTAAATCCTAGAGGTTGGGGGCTGGCTCAGGGTTTGAGCCATTCTTTTGGCTCAAGACCTCCTCCGGGGTATCAGTTCTCTCCCCGCAGAAACCCTGGGGCAGGATATTTTGAAAAAGAGGGGGAGAGGAGCCCTTGGTTGGCGAATAGGGCATCATTGGGAAGTCTTAGAGATTCAGGGATCTCCGTCCTCAAGGAACCAACTACATTCCTGTCTCAGTTCCATCATGCATCATGTGACTCTGGACGAGGCCCTTAAAATGTCTCAATTTCAGTTCTGTGAACTAGCAAGCCACACCAGTACTCTTGCCTGGGAAATCCCATAGACAGAGAGAACTGGAGGGCTACAGCCCATGGGGTCACAAAGAGTCGGACACAACTTAACGACTAAGTAACAACACCACCATGTGGGCTACAGCCCCTGCACTGTCCCCGCCACGAGGCTGACATGGGGAGTCATGGGAAACATTTAGATGTATTCTGCACGAGCCTCAAAAGCACCCTTCCCATGTACAGGATGAAAAGTAAACATCCACCCTTCCCTGTCCTATAGCTATCCAAGTCCTCTCTCTGGAGGCAATCCGACCCAGTTTCTAGCTTTTGCTTCTGGACATTTACTGAGCAAGCACTTAAAGAGGACTTCTGAAGTACTCTTTCTTAATCTTTCCTTGTATTTAACCATTTTAAGCCTCACACCATGATACTGTAGGCTCTATGTAAGAACAGTGCAGAGAACCTCGGGGAGAGGTCAGTTCATCATCTTCCTAGGTTCGTGCTGCTTCTAGAGGAATTTGAACCAGTGCCCATGTTCTCAGTTTATATTCTCCTGCCTTCCTATGTTGCCACATCTGAGTAAAGGTATCTGGTGGACTTCCATGGTGGTCCAGTGCTTAAGACTGTGCTTTCAATGCAGGGGAATGGGTTCGATCCCTGGTCAGGGGACTAAGATCCCACATGCCACATGGTGAGGACAAAAGAAAAAATTAAAGGTATTTACCCACATCATCTCTCCCTTGAGTGTTTTAAATGCACCCCAAGCTGAAAGATCTTCTTAAAGCCCAAGTTTGATTCAGGAGGCTCTGCTAGGCAGCTGGTCAGATAAGGGGATCAAAGGTTTCAACTGGGAATAAGTTATCACTGACTTTCCTGGGCTCTTCTGCCAGCAAGATGTCAACAGCTCTCTTTGTTATGAATGCATTTCCTAGGATCTGGCCTGATGAAGACAAAAGGGAAACTTGATCCTCAGTCAAGAAGATAGGCACCTCACCCCCAGCAGTGGGTCAGAAAAGTGGGCATCCTGCCACACCCCAAGGTGCACCCTACAAACCAGTCAGTTGAAGGTACTTTAGAAATTCAGTCTTTAAATAGACTGCAGAATAATGATAGAAGTTTATTTAGTACACTGTGTGTAAGAGAAAACTATAAAAATATTAAGCCATATTCTTTTTTTTCATGTATGAAAATTTAAATGTGCCAAGTTATTTGTGCCATGACCAGAAAAGTAAAGGTGTATTTACAACTCAGGTTTGTTTACATGTAATAGTCAACAATGTCTGGATTTTAATGTTTGAATATTAGCTGATGGCTGAATATTAGCAGAAGCTTGTCTCTCCGTGAAACAGTGCAGTTTTTTTTTTTTTTTTTTAATTAATGGATGTTAGTATTTAGGACAGGTTTTTTGGGGGAGTGGTTATTTTATTTTTCCTTTGGCTGTGCCAGCTCTTAGTTGCAGCATGTGGGATCTAGTTCCCCGACCAGGGATGGACCTGGACCCCCTGCATTGGGAGCACGGAGTCTTATCCACTGGACCACCAGGGAAGTCCAGTAGTGGTTAAATAGTAGGATATCAGTAGTTTCAAATCTTCTATAATTGATTATATTTATGATGAAATGTTAGTCGAATGATAAAATAGATTATTTTGTCTAGAATTCAATCCAGTCCCCCAATCAAAGTGTGCTTGTAATCACCTGCAAAATTCTAAGGAACAGATATCAATGTGGTAGCAGCCTATGTGAATCCATGGAGGCCAGTGTGGTTTTGGCAGATGTTAAAAATAGAGCAGTGGGCACTTGCCTAGGAGTCCAGAGTTTGAGACTTCGCCTTCCAGTGCAGGAGGCGTGAGTTCTATCCCTGCTCTAGGAGCTAAGATCCCACGTGCCTAGCAGCCAAATAAAAACAAAAGGAAAAACAAAAGCAATATTGTAACCAATTCAATAGGCTTCAAACAGACTTTAAAAGCAGTCCACATCAAAAAAATATAAATAGCAATTTAGCTGGACTTCAAAATGGGCAGGATGAGTGATGGGACTCGGTCATTGAATCATAACATGGAGTTTAGTACCATTTGTACAATGATATAGGTTGCCTTCAGCTGAAAAGCCAAGGGCTCTGTCTCATTTCTTTTTTCCTCCTCTCCTTTGCCTTCCCTTGTCCACCAAGGCAGTTGGCCCGGCAGCAGCTGAGTCATGCTTGTTTTACCCACCACATCCATGCAGCCTATCTCCTTGCCCAAGGCAACAAAACCTCTCCAAGTCATTCCTGAGCAACACCACCAATGACTGACAGTCACTCTGTGTCCCCCCACCCCCGCCTGCCAGACTCCCCTGAGGACCTTTTGGAGGAGCTCCCTCATGACAGAGCAGAGGAAGAAACCCTATCTAATGCCAAGGTAAGGTCGCTTGTCTTTGTCTCAGATGGATATGTTGCTTTGTGCGTTTATTTCCTGTTCAATTGAATTCACCCGTGAAAATCTGACAGTGAAGATTATCGATGGTTTCCACAGT